TCTATATCATTTTCTGCTCCTTAGTGCTTTTCAAGCTCAAGGAAGGAAAACAAACTCAGCTGTTTTGTGTTTGTTCATGATTGAGTTTTACCAGGAACATGTTAGCATTACTCCATATTTGTCATTATATGATGGCAGAAGGCACATTTCTGAGGTGAAGCAGAATATCCACTCTTACTTCCAGGGGTTTATAATTGGTAAGGATGGAGGATACCAAAATCTGCCAGGGGAGCCAGTGCTGCCTTCACCTCTGTCTCTCTTCTGATTGCTTGCAGAAGTACCTGTGATTTTGCCTCACTTGTTTTGCTTATGTCTCAAATGATATTACTGAAAATGAATGCAAGTGCCCTAGGCCATGAATAGCATTGGGGCATAGGTTTTTTTTCCGTTTTCATGGCTAGCTGAAAGTGTTTCAGTTGATGTTAGGTTAAGCTGTGCTGGATTTAGTTAAGCTAGTGCTGGATAGGTACTTTGAATCTGGACTAAGAGTGATTTGTGTCAATTGACCTGAAATCTATCCCTAATTGACTTAAGCTGAACTGAACTTCCACYTGGTTTATGCCCTCAATTATCCCGTCTCACCCGTAGCTTGGAGATGGTGTCCAGCTCCAAGGCGCATCCGCCGAGGAGGCGGGTGACTGCAGCCTGCCTTTCTGTAGCCTGCAGCAAACGGGAGGTAAAATGTGTCAGTTTAACCTCGGGGACAAGGAATAAAAGGAAAAGAAAAAAAGTCTAAGCTGGTTTCTTCCCTCTGCCATTGCCAGGGGCTAGGAGCAAACACACATGGTCAATTAGCAGGGCTCAGCGGAGGCCTGGGAAGTTGTCAAACATGTCAGCACATGAATGAGATCACTCACTCATGGATTCAGACCCTGAAAGCATCATTTAAAACTGGCTCTACATAAACCAGTGTAACTCTAGGCAGGGCCACGTGAACAAATTAGTGCGGGGATGGCAAGATTTTATGTGTCAGCTTTCCCTGATGCCCAGGTGATCTGAGGAAGCCTCGTGTCCGCTTACTGAGGGGAAGGCACAGCTCACACATGGTAAATTCAAAGCCTGGTTTCTCTTGCTGCAATTATTTTAACGTTGTTTAAAGCGGTTTAGTTTGGCTAAGAGGTAAGAAAACAGATTTGGAGCACTCCTCAAGTTAACGTAAACCTATTTCAAGTTTTCCTCTTGGCTTAYATGGTGCAATTTTATAGGGGAAATCTTTAAATTAGGAAGTTTTTCCATGTACTTTCTAGAGCAATACAGTGTCTTTAGAGAAGCCTGATGGCCCTAGGTTTTACATTCTAATTCACAGAGGAGCTAGCATCTTTCTCAAAAACAAGTGAAAAACAAAAACTTGTCTCCACCGATAAAAAAACCAGCAGCCCCTACTTTTAGCTTTCTGCCCAGATAACACTAGTTTTATTACTCCACCCTGTGGGAGAGCTAAGAAGAAATTTGCTCTTTCCCAGATACGAACAAACACAGGATTTGCTAAACTGAAACTAAAGCTACAAAACTCCCAAGCCTGGGATGATTTGGACCCAGTTTCCAACTATGAGTAGGCCAAGGAAACACATGACCAAACAAACAGAAAAACTCTGTATGCTTTTGCTTTCTATTCAGTAACTCAATTTAATAAACTCAATGTCAGTTAATCTTCCTCTGCTTCCATATAATGGACGAAAAGACAGCTGATGAAATTATTTGAGATGCGTTTTGATGCAGCCTGATTCAGCACAAGGCAGCAAGTATCTCAAGTAACACAGACATGTTTTGAACACTGCTTCTCTCTCTGCTGTCAACCGCCACCACCTCTGCAGTAATGTGACAGCAAGAGAAAAAGGATGGGAAGGCGACAAAGTTTGCCCACACAAGCCGAAAAGAACTTTCTGTCCAAAGCCAGCTGGCTTTGCTTGGAAATGAAATGGCATTTTAGCATGAGATGACACGTTTTGCATGTGTTTTGGAGCTCTGTTGCAAAACAGTTGTCCTCAGTGCAACAACAGGTTCTGTGAATTAGTTTGTCGTCAAGTGGCCATAGGAAACAGGTGAGCTGCCTGAGTGCCAGTTTGTCTCCTCAGCTCTTGGACAGATGAAGAAACCATGCTCAGAAAAACGCAGCAAATGTGCAGCCCCATTTCTTCTTTAGAAAGGAGCGTATCTTTTAGGAAAGGGTTGAGAAAACATGTAATAGTAACAGTCCTAAATAACAGCAAAGAAAAGAATAACCCCCTTGGTAAATGCCTGATGCTGTTTGTTCAGCTAGGGACCTTGGAAATGWGCATGGGTTGATCCGTGTTAACGTTCGTGTTAAATGTGTAAGGCTTGTGTTCATACTAAAGCAAATGTCCAACAAGGGATCAGGAATATTTACCATTACTATAAAGGGCTGTTGGGAGCAGGGAAGCTGGTGCCTGTCATTCATCCTGTAGGACACAGAGACCACACTTCATTGACCTAGGTGTAGCCCCAAGGAAATCAGTAGGAAACACACCAGCAATATGTTTGTGCTCCAGAGCCTGGACAGCATCATAAAGAACCCAAATGCACCTTGTAAACTGCCCGAGATTCATTTTTAAACTTTATTTGGTAAGTTAACTGCTTTAAAAGTTCCTATACCTCAAATGTTACAGGAGATCATGCAGAGCTGGTATGGGTTCTGCAAATGAAGCACACAAGACCAGGGCTTATACTATGTGCCTTTTCTAATACACAATGCGTTCAATGGAGTTTACGGTAAAACAAGTAAAATCCAAGGGAAAAGAGTATTTAAAGCAGCTTTTAAAGAGCTGCATATCTCCAGCACGAGTGGAACGCAGTGGGAGCTGAGGATGCTCTGCACAAGCACCTTATCTGGCTTTTAAGAGTTCCCCAAGGCATTTGTCACTTGAAGAGGCACCATCAATTTCAAATCTACTTTAAAAAGCAGTTCAAAGACATTTAAGGTACTATGGTCTCCTGTGTCTATTTCTGTCCCTTTTGTTTCCTAGCGGTGTGGGATTGTGACCACACATACTGCAGTTGGATATAGAAATTAAACTAAGAGAAAAAAAGGAGATTTTTTTTCTTTAATCGCTTGGAAAATTTTCCAGACTACAGCACAGTTCTTAAATCAATAATGTCCTTTTCAGAATTCATTTGCCAGGCAATGTTACAAGAAAAAAGACTTCACGGTCAGTTTGAACACAAGAAAGTCCCCTTTTAACTAATTAAAAATCTATATAAGAGATAATGGCAAGCAGTGTTTGCACAAGTCTCCAAATAGTAAATTATATCCTACACCATAAATACGCAAATAAGTTTATAAAATTCTCGTAAACAATTTCTGTCTCTTTGGAAGAGGGGCAAGTTCTATCCTAAGAAAAGACTGACTGTATAAAAATAATAAAAATAGCCTTGAAATGATTTTTGCAGCTTTACACATATTATAACTGTTATATGTTACCAGATGAAGGGCTGCAATTTTTTGAATAATGTAGTAAATACAATCTTTTTTAAAGCAGTGATGTGATAAAATATTATGGGAAGAAAAAATACATTTTAATAAATAAAATATTGAACTTAATCACTATTTTTTCAAATGTACTGTGCAATCTGTGTGTTCTCTGTAAGATGTCAGGCTATAATACGCATATGTACACTTTGCTGTCTCTATAAATATACATGTGCACGACACATTTCTAAAAGCAGTAAATGAGTGCTGGGGAAATACAGAAACAATGAAGTTCCTAAGAGAGGCTTATTTTTTCAAGTTATTAAAAGAAGGTGGCAAGCATTCATGAGGATATGAAAATTTAAAGCCGTCTGCAGGAAACTCTGAAAAACCTCTGGTTAAGGCTACTGCCAAAAAATCTCAGCTATGTTATGTCAGAATGTTTAATTGCAAGCTGCAATTTTAATGAATGGAAAGATATGGCAAAAGCAAGTTTCTGAAGCAACATAGAGCAACCATGAAAATAAAATACCAAAGGTTGTACTCTTAAATGCTCTTGGAAGCTGGAATTTCCATCCACGCTTGATCTCCCTTTTGCTACTGTGCAGAATTTGCCGGCYGTCTGGCTCAGGAGAGCTGAGCTGCTCTGGATATCATCGTCTCCTGGGCTCCTAATGTCTATGTGAAGAAGTCAACTTCTTGCATTTGTCGTTAGGGGTGTTTACAGAAGTGCAGTTTAGGAATAAGGAGAGGAAAAGCAAATGTCAGAGTGCATTAAATAACATATTTTCTTTAGTTTCCAGGAAGCTTGCTTGCAACATGCTGTTGCTATTTATATCGGCTCTCTTAAACCCAGCTGTTGGTTCATGTTAACGTGCAGAATGGTAAGAAAATCCCAGCAGAAAAGTGTGAATCCCAGTGAGACCTGTGCTCTGTCATTGCGAGGACCTGGAAACCAGCACAAGTTCTGCTGCGATACGCATCAGGCAGTGCAAATATTCCCAGAGTTGATCTATGGCATGAGGAGGCCAACAGCAAAGCCAAACAAAAAGGACCAAATGCAACGGGCAACTTCAGATAACAGAACTAGAACCCACGGCCAGAAAGAGTTTGAAAGGGAACTTTTACCTGTAACTCAAAACTAGCAAATATACCGTATACCCACATTACAGCATTCTTAGACAAGCTCTGTCTGATCTAATCTTATGTACCTTGGCCACAAGTTCTGGAAAAACAAATACTCCCAAGGCAATCAGATTACTGCATGTACCATATAACGATGTGGAAATATTAGTGGTTTGCAGAGGGCAGTTTCTGAAGCAGATTGAGTGAATCTAATTCATGCATTGTCAGGTAATTGGGACTTCACTAAAATAAGGAAATCTTTACTTGATTTTATCTGTATTTGGTGGAGCACCAGAGCCAAATAGGAGTGTAACGGAGATGCTCTCAACCACAGATGGAGTAACGGGAGTCTGTTCGGAGCCAGTTTTTGGGGAGTGAGTCTACAGTCTCTGTAATGAAATGGTCATTATGGGGTTAACAGGATTACCCAAAGCATTAATGGAAAGGAACCATTATCCACTTCTCTCTTTCTTCCTGTTTTGTAGGTGGGACTCCCCCCATCTCATATCCTTTGTTTCTAATGGAAGTTCCCATCCTGAGAAACCATGAATGCAGTTTGGTTTTGTTGCAGTAAGTAGTCCTTTATACAAATCTTCATTCATGGACTACTTCCACCATTGTAAGTGAAACAATATTAGGAATTAATCTGCTCTGTGATTTTTAAGAAACTTTGTTGCTGAAAGCTTGTTCTTAAGCCCTTATTGCCTATGAAGGATTTCTTAATTGTTTCCCAAATACGCAAAAGCCACGTAACATTCCTTTCTCTGATTCATAAAGTCTTGCATTTTTTTTTTTTTTTATCTAAAGCTCACCTTTAGGAGCATGAGACTAGGATTTTTTCTGCAGAACACAAGATGAAAAACTTGCTATCAAGGCCTGAGGAACAGCTGTGGTGCTTCTCTCTGGCATGTTTTCTGAGAAGGTCCTGAATTGTAACTTAAAAATTAGCAGAGAGAGCATTTTAGAGGTAATGCTTCCAGAAAGAGCAAATGGGTGGAAAAGCACTGGAATTGAGATGCTTGGAAAACCCTTTTGCCATAATGACTGCTGCCATAGTGACTCTATTCAAGTACCAGGCTATTTGGCTAAAACTAAGAATTTGGTTAAAACTGGTGTATTTTTTTTCCATGTTTTTCTATTTATTTTCTATTTCTCTGGGTGTATTTCTCCTTTAGAACACTGTGAAAATTACAGGCCTGCTACTTGGCCAAGGAAAGAAATTTCAGGTCTGTCAGTTTGCCTTTTGTTGCAGGTAAGATGGGCAGAACTGTACACAGTGGTGGTTCTTATTCCTCCAGTGTGATCCTGGCACATCCTTTTATACCTATTAAGTGTGATGTTCTTTGGGGTTTTGTTGTATTGTTGCTTCTAAGACCCTAAGTTAGTTAGACTTATAAAGATTATATATATGTGTGTGTGTGTGTGTGTATATATATATATATATATATATATATATATATAGTCTGTAGAATGGACTTTTAATGCAGCTACACCTTTGTATCCCTTGGACTATCCAGGTGCATTTTGCCGTTCGAGTTGTCCTGGAAGTTATAGCTAACACAGAACATGGCCATCAAATTGTGTAGCGATTTGTGTCATGTTGATCTATAAAGCTCTATATGGTTTTATTTATGTCATCCTAAGGGGTGTTATTTTTCACTTACGCTATTGTGCCATATGAGAACATCTGTGACCTCCCCTCCCTGTTCTTTCTCACCAGCACTCCCAAGGGGCATCCGGAGAAGCAGATGTAGCAGCAAATCATTGTGTATAGAAAACAACATCTGTAGTTTCAATTGGATGYCGTATTTTGCACTTCCTTTTCTCAATTGTTATATAGGGCAGTATTTCAATTGAGAGAGGAATGCATTTTAGTGAGTGAAAGATGCTGCTCTGTGCTCCTTACCTATTGTTTGCAAGGCACATACAGAAATCCCCTGGGCAGCAAACACTATGCCTATTCCTCTGGTGCTGCTGAAAAGAACAGATTAGAACCAATTATTTATCTCTTTGGTTTCCTGCTCTATTTTTCCAGTGTAGAATAATATGATTACCTACAGAAAATAATTAATAATGAATACAACCAGAAATACTTGCTCAGATCTGTCTTTTTTTATTCAGATTCCCAATGACTTGTAAAACTTCAATAAAGGATTCAGGATTTTGTCTGATGTCTTTATAGTATATTGCTTTCATGAGCAGATTTCATGGTATTMATCATTAGATTCTAGTAATAGACTTTATAGCTATTATAGGTGATAGGTATAGTCACGAATAAAAGAATAAATTATAGTCGTAACATTTGGACTGTTCATGGTAAGAAATGCAAGAAATGTGTATGTATTTAAATATCTTCCTGTTCATTATAAGTAAGTACCAAGCAGTATGGAAACATGACATGTTATATTCAAGATGGCAATTATTTGTAATTTGTTATTYGTCTCTTTCACACTTTTTATTAGCTCTTCAGTAGATTCCTGGTAATAGATCACAAGCCCTCGCATTTCTGTTTTGAATGAAACGGGATGTTTCAAAAGGTGTTGAACTTACACCCCTGGCTATATATTTAAAACCCAAGTAGCTTGCCCACTGCAAATACTGATATTCGAAATTTCAATGCGCTGTTGCTGCTTCTCTGAGCTGAATAATTGCAAAAGAGAACAGGAATTTGCACTCATTTGGAGGGGATGGCTTGGAGGAGTTACGCTGTTCCCTCCTATGCTGTGGTTAAGGCCCCTGGAGTTGGTGCTTCTGTCCTCATTTCTTTCATCTTTGGCTTGCAGTAATTTTTGTGTGCATATATATATATATATATATATATTTCCAATTCTTGTATCCTGAAGGAAAGTCTCATACATTCTCCATCAGTGATTTACAACTTCAAAATGGCTCTCACCATTCCGCTTTGAGGCCTGCTACCTTGCAGTGTAAATCTAGAAAAGCAGCAAGAGTACCAGCAGATTTTTGGCAAGTMACTTCTGATCATCAAAATTTTATCTTTGAGTCATTCTCTGCCCGCTGCTTTCTGGGAAAGATTAAATATGCCAATTTTTATGTCTTATTATATGTTTCTAAGCAGCCTTCTTCCGCTTAAAAGCAAAATTAATGGTAGCTCTGGCAGAGATAACATGACTTGGACTGTCACCTTGGCCAGGAGAAGCCGGCCGAGCCTCCAGCCTCGCAGGGCAGGGACTCTCACAGAAAGCCGTAAAAACTTGTTTCTGTGACACAAAAAGCTCGTTTCTGTGGTAGAAGTGGCAGCACCTGGGCCTGCCCCCCCCCCCGGCCGGGCCCGCGCAGCCGTTGCCCCTGGCAACCCCTCAGGACGGCGCCGCCGCAGCCGGCGCGCGCACGACCCCGCCCTGCGGGGCAGGCGCGATTGCGCATGCGCCGCCGCCCGCCTGGGCGGGACCCGCTGCGTGCGTCATTGATGGCGAAGCGAGGGACGGGGCGCCCTGGCTGGCGGCTGCGCATGCGCTGTCGCAAAGGTTGGGGAGGAGGGGCGCACGGCCAAARGCTTCCTTCGCGGGAGGCCCCGCACGAGCTCGGTTCGGATTGGCTGCCCCTTTCCCCTCCGCCTCTCTGATTGGTCGTTCTCCTGTCACTCACTGCTCCACGTTTCCGCGCGCCCCGCCCCTCAGCAGCGCTTCTGTTGGTCGCCGCCCCTTTTCGCCTGCGCGCGCCCTGATTGGCCTCGCGCGCCCTTCACTCCGTCCCGCCGCCCTATGGGCGCGCGGCTCTGGCACGGTCGGGTCGTCGGCGAAGAATGTAGACCCGGCCGCTCCCCGTGCTACAGCAAAGTAATCCGGGAATGCTGCCCGCTCCAACCGGGGCGCTTCCAGCCCCAGTGCCCGGCGCCGCGTTCGCCCTCACCCTCCGCCTCCCCTCCGGCCGCCTCCTGGTCGCCACAGGGCAGCGCCCTTAGCCACAGCTGCCAGTAGGAGCGGGCGGAAGGATATCTGGGAGCGGTGCTGCGCCCCTGAGGAGAGCGAGCGAGCGAGCGAGCGAGAGGGTGACAGAGGAAGTAGTCCCGGCCGCGCTCGGGCCTTGTTTCCCAAAAATAGCGCCCAGCGGGTATCCGTGCGCCGGTGTCAGTGTCTCCCCAGGCGCCTCAGCGGGGAGGCGGCAGGAGCGGCGC